AATGCCTCAAGTTCAAGGGACAGACAATGCCGACGCTCAGAAGCCATTGACTTCATAATGGCCGGAGACGCAGTCGAATATAACTAGCTTTTTTAAGTGAAACTTTCGGACTTTGAATAACAATTGAGAAAAGTGGCCTTAAAATGGATTTTTCTAGGATTACAGATTTTGGGGATTTTCCGAAAAAGTGCTTCAGACTGTATTTCTCTTAATTCATCATCGAATTTATCGGCAGGTTCTACGACCTTATCTAGGGTTGTCACTTCCAAACTTTCAGGATCCCGAATGTTTCGGGATTTCCCGAATCTTTCGGGATTACTCCCGAATCTTTCGGGATTTTCCGAACCTTTCGGGATAGCCCGAATCTTTCGGGAGTATTGTTGAGAATAACATTGTAAAAAAGTGGCATAAATGCCGAATAAGGGCATTTCACTAATCAAAAAGATAATTCTATCTGCCTTCGTCGAGATCGATGGTCTAAGAAGGCAAGACCTTTTGTAAATGTCGAATTTGTAGTCAAAGTATCTCCGAAGTTCGCCACGATTAAATGAATTTAATTTTTGAAAAGTTTGAAGCATGTATCCTGGCGCATGTTCGCTTTGGGCAATTTTGAATCTGAAAAATATTCATTAATCTTTAAGATTATTCTTGTAAGCTTGACAAAACAATAATTATAAAATTAGTTACATGATCATTTGATAGATTAAATCGATGCCATCTTGAGCCTTTATTAGTTCGTAAAGATTCTCGCTCAATGTTTTGAAAACTGTGCACTCGACATATGCGGTCAATCTTCGGGGTAGGGATCCCGAAGAATAGACGATTTTCAATACGCTCAATATTTCGTTTGTTTTTGTTTTCAAGCCTAGCCCTAACCCTAACCCATAAACCTAACCCTAACCCTAACCTAGCATAACTACTACCCAACTACTTAAATCAGGGTATATATGCGCTCCGCGCCTGATTTCAGAGATAAACTCCTTTTGGAGTATGCTGTCTTTTTTCAGCCGTGCCTTTTGTCTGTTTATTTTATGAAAAATCGAGTTGTCAACTTAGCGGGAGGACAGCTTTTCAAAACGAATTATTCGGTAACCCTAACGAATTATTCGTTAACCCTAACGAATTATTCGGTAACCCTAACGAATTATTCGGTAACCCTAACGAATTATTCGTTTTTAACGAATTATTTTTACGGAAAATAAATTCGTTAGGGCAACGAATAATTCGTTGCAACGAATTATTTTCACCGGCGACGCAATCTTCGGGGTAAAATCCCGAAGAGCTACCAATATAAAGTGCGGTCAATCTTCGGGGTCTTGAAAATCTAGAGACGAAGAATAACCGATGTACAATGAGGTGATTCTTCGGGGTAAAATGAGTGTTTTCGAGATCGTCGAGTGCTTAATTTCGCTGCCGCGTTATCGAAATTCCTATCATCCGCCCGCCTTATGAATGTTGCTATCAGCACGATTTTTAATCAAAAAACCGAAAAAAAAGAAGAAAAAAATTTTTATTGAAATCAAGGAAATGGTTCGTAATAATATGGATTATCCTTCAATTATCATAACTGAAGGCGACAGAGAGATTCTCTTTCACCAGTAGAACGCTCTTTCCAAGTCGATTATCTACGAATGTTCTCAGCTTTAAAGTATCCTTCAAATTTCTTGTTCTTTTTTCCCATAAAAAAATTAAAATCATAGTATTTGCTAAAATAAGGTAAGGGTTAGGGGGCACCTTCAAAAATGACGGAACAAATTACCCGAGAGGGATAGGCTAGGGTTAGTTAGGTTTACTATACTTTACTGTTAAAAACTTTCAATAAGAGAGTTGTTAATTGGCTTTCAATCTTTAGGACGAATTTTTTATTCGAAAATCCCTCAATTTTGGTCGGAAATATCGGCCAAAATATTATTCATTATTATTCATTCATCAATTTACTGAAATTAATAACATCGGATTTCTATTTGTTTGATAGTTTTTCATAGCAGGAATAACTATATAATAATTAAATATGCTGATCGTTTATAAGTATTCATCTTCAAACTTTTTTAGACCCCGAAGATTCACCACAATGTTGATCGGTTATTCTTCGTCTCCGGATTTTCGAGACCCCGAAGATTGACCGCATTTTTTATCGGTAGCTCTTCGGGATTTTACCCCGAAGATTGAGCGTATTTAAAATCGTCTATTCTTCGGGATCCCTACCCCGAAGATTGACCACGTATGACCTGTGCACTCTGAAAAAAGTATTTAATCCTAAAATGTTGGACTCTAATCTTAACCATCCGTCAAATTTGTGTCAATGATCCAATTGAAACCAAAAAATTTTTTCATGTTCATATCATATTCACGAAGTTTCTCGCGTGAATCTGCGCATTGATTTTCATAAATCTTCAGTAGGAATTTCACAAAAATTATTTCCAGAATAAAAAGAAAGATGAATTAAATTTAAACAAAAACATCGTGTCACAATTAAAAGTTCTTGACGACATCATGTTTGTTCCCGTTCCTTTATTTCCGCGCTTGTTTTCTGTCCTGGATAATTCTCGTCTTTTAATTGATTATTTATTTATGAATTATTTTATTTTAATTCAAATAAATGTTATTATGTATAACCAATTAACTTGAAGGCCAGCTTTTACACTGATTTCAAATGCGCCATTGCAAATTTTTCCATCATTTTCTTAGAAGCTCAAAAACTGTTTCGCTCTCTTCAAACAGGTTATAAAAAATCATAATAAAATATTGAATATTTTTTTTAAAACCGTTTCTCTACTGTTTGAGCAAATAATTCTCTTCGGGTTGATTTCAATGATAAATTAGAAAATTCGAAATCGTTAAGGCCAAAAATTAGTCAAAAAAAAGGGGAAAAAACATTTGCGACGACCGGATTTTCTTGAATGTTTCACTTTAATTCGAGGGAAAGCGAGATAGATCATCGAACCGTTAATGACAAAATAGCACGTCGAAAACAATAAAGGCTTTTTGTTTATAGAAACGCGATGATCTGGAAAATTTTCATTAACCTTGTTGATGTTGTTTCCTGATCATCCCTGGCAGAATCCAATTTTTTGAATAGCTTCCCTGAATGATTTATTCGCTTTAAGATTCCAAGGAATTTGTCTTCCACCCGAGGGTTCTTCTGGAGGTTCTTCCGCAGAAAAAGACGAGAACTGGCGAATATTGGCAACTCATGGCCAGACAAGGCTAATTAAATAAAAGATTTAAAATTTTGGTCTTTAAGCTGTAAGTCTTCTACCCAAGGGTTCCTCCAGGAGGTCCTCCGGCATTAAGTGACTCAAAGTGGCCGAACGTGGGAACTTGTGGACATTCAAGGCTCTTTATTGATCTTTTCTATATTTTTGTTTTCAAGCAGTCTGGTTGGTCTTCCACTTAGAGAGTCCTCCGGGAGGTTGTCCGGCAATAAACGGCCAAATGTGGCAATATCTGTTCAATCAAGGCTTCATATTTCATTTGCATTTAATTTTTAAATATTTGTCTTCGAGCACCCTGTCTTCCAGCAACCTGTCTTCCAGCAGAGGGGTCCTCCGCGAGTTCCTCCGGCATTAAGTGACTCAGAGTGGCCGAACGTAAGAACTTGTAGAAATTCAAGGCTCTTTATTGATTTTTTCTTTATTTTGGTTTTCAAGCAGTTTGGTTGGTCTTCCAGTAAGAGGGTCCTCCGGGAGGTTCTCCGGCAATAAATGGCCAAATATGGCAATTACTTTCTATTCAAGGCTTCATTTTTCATTTCTATTTAATTTTTAAATATTGTCTTCCAGCAACCTGTCTTCCAGCAGAAGGGTCCTCCGGGAGGTCCTCCGGCACAAACTGACCGAAGTTGGCCTCAAGTGGCCATTAACTGGCCGAGGAAGGTCATTTATTCATTTATTCAAATAATGAAAAAAATGGCGAAAAATGGCCAAAAAATGGCGTGTTTGGACCTTTCTCTTAAGCATAGCTCGGAATTTTCTTCTTATTTATGATCGGTTTTTGCTTAATTCAAGTTTAAAAATGTCTGCTCTTACATACTATCATGACAGAAATATGAAAAGGGGGTGAGCCGAAGAAATGCGGAGCCAAAAACTAGAAAATGCACCATTTTCACGATTTTGACCCCCCGAAAATCGTCTCCCCAAAAATTTTTTATTTCTTTTAAAAGTGGTTTTAGACTAATAAGACACTGTTCTTTCACGTCCACTGAAAAAAAACACCCCAGCACGGCTAGAAAATATGACGATTTTTCTAATGCAGTAGTCGGTAGATGGAACACCCGCATTATGGAATTCCCGGAAAGTCTCCCGCAAAGGGAACACTACGGATCCGGGCGCGAACGGAGAAGGCAAATGGCAAACTGGGCATGGCACCACAGCTGCGCCTCGGTCGCCGTCGACGAAATAGTTGTAATCGGAGTTGGTAGCTCTAGTGTCATGGCACCAAAAGCCAGAATGGACGAAACAACCAAGACACACGGTATGACGGCAACGGGTGAGAACTATCTCCTGGCAATGTTCGGAGTTGTACATATCACTGCACTTGGGACATCGGAAGGGGAGGGAACGAGAGCCGGTAGCTGACATTGAAGGACCGGAATAGTTATATCTTAAAACACAAAAGTTAAGCAGGAGATCCTACTGTGACACTAGCCATTACTAATAAAATACTAGGCAGTTATTAAACAAACTATACATCGGAAATATCAGAACTGAACAAAATGTGAAGAAATTTGCTGAAAAGGTAGTGAAACCAATAGAGGTATTGAGGGAAAAATTGGAAAAAAGTGCAAAATGAAAGAATGGCGAAAGTAAAAGCGTGCGAACGTGAGAATATGAAAGAATCCAGAAGAAGTGAGGCCATAACGAAGGGGCACGGTCAAATGGTCGCCAGAGCAAGACTCAGAAGGATTAGGGCTAAGAAACGCCAGTTAGAGGTACTAAAAGGAATTGTCAGTATGGTCCAAAGCCATATTGTTGCTATAACGAGATAATCGAGTAACTTACCTAAAAGCCACTCTCCTCGGAAGATCGAGGCTCACGGTAAGGGAAGGAAACGATGCCGCGACCACGGCCGCGCAGACGAGAGGGCACAGCTGTGCGTCGGGGAGTGCGTGGCGGACGTGACGGTATCTCAAACAAGGACTCGTCGTCGGTATCGTCAGGGCGAGATGCGGCGACGTCTACGGCGTTGTTCGGGACAAATGGAGCTACACCAGCGACAACAAGGCTGCGAGGATTATCGTTGCGGATGGTACCACGTGTAGTCTCAACCGGAAACAAGCCAGGCCGATCAGACAGAAAGAGTTCAAACTCAGCGTCAGAAGCAGATGGATTCGCGGGCGATAGAGACACCTCCGCAGGCGCAGCTGGAGATGGAGGGTCACATGACATCTGAAGATCCGTCTCGGTAGTAGAAGTTGGAGGATCATCAGCGGTCTCGACACGATCATGGTTAGCGGGAGTGTCAGCAGCTTCTCGAGCGGCAGAGTCAGTAAGACCAGCAGTAGGAGCCTGAGTTTCCGGCTCGCGACACAGAACATACACAACTCCGTAAGGCTGGAAAATACTGGAGACAGCACACTTGGGGCATAGAATATGAGGAGCCTGTGAATGCGGATCGAGCTGGCTATGAACCAGAAGGCAACTCAGGCACCACAGATGCCCACAAGAAGAAAAACGACCTCAGCGCGATAAGGGGGCTGGAAGGCTTGATGGCAGCAAGGACAGTTATCGCGAGACGAAACCATTGCTACTTAGTTCTAGGTTCTGACATCAGTCTTAAATTCAAATGCTCAAAAACGTAAAACAGTCAAAAACTTGAAAGTACTATGGGTTTATTGAACTGACTCAGTTACTGAGTATTTAAGAGTTTTTTTAAGATAGAAAAGAACAGAGGGAATAAAGTGAGCAACAGTAGTCAGTTGAGGTGTTTTTGGTGAAAAAGATAACATCAAGAAAGAGGCTTCACTAACAAAACGATACAGTTCAAATGAGTGATGAGATAGGTTTTTATGTCGCGGGAGCAGGTGGTTCCAAATTCTGAGCTGCGGGCTGAGAGTCGCGATTGTTGCGGCCCCGATGGTCGTCACGGCGGTAATCACCGTATTGATCCAAAAATCCAGCGGCACGAGGCTCGGCGCACAAGAAGCGAGCACTGAGTCGGGTTGGCATGCTGATCTTTAAAGATACCAGACCCCGAAAGACCGTAGTATGGAAAAATGTTTCGGTAAAAGCGACCGAAATATTAATTACTTTCAAGGGGTCAAATGTGATAAATATTTCGGCAGGCAGCCGAAAGAATTATACAAATAAGACTCATTTTTAGGAAAAATATTTCGGTACGAGCCGAAATAAAAATAAGAAATTGATGTCTTTTGAGCAATAAAGTTTCGGCTGGTTTTTCCATTCTCATCCTGATTTGCGCTGGTGTGTGCATTGAATGAGTTTGCCTTATCAGTTCTTCACCTCAAAAATCTCGAGTAATTTTCTGTTCTCATTTTCCGAAGATCATTTGTCGGGGTTCATTCTTCATTTCACGAAAATGGAGGAACTCGATGAATAAAAAGGTTTGTCCTCGCCTGGTCCAAATCCTCGCCTGGTCCAAATCCTGCCTGGTCCAAATCCTTGCCTGGTCCAAAATTGAAAATGGACCAGGTAAGGAAATTGGACCAGGTAAGGATTTGGACCAGGCGAGGAATTTTAATTTGAAAAATTTTTGAAAACAAAAAATGAGTAACCAGACCAAAACAAATTTTTTCTTGACCCCCATCCGAGACAAAAAATTTAAAATTCTGAAAAATTTTGAATTAAATTTCCGTTTTTTCAAAATGTTCTTATAAGTTTCCCCCTTCGAGAATTTTTTTGAGAGAAGTATTTGAATTCTTTTAGATTTATAAAGATAACAATAATTCTAAGGCTAAATTGGAGCCAAAAAGATGATTTATTCCTAAGAAAATGGTCACGTGGGAAATTTTTCAAAAAAATATTTTTCTTGGACTAAAAGTAGTCCCTGGTGTACCTTATCAGATTTGGGCTGAAAGAACAACAAAAATTGATGACCAAAAATAACCATTCTGACTTCAGCGGGAACAGTAAAAACGCCTGGTCTGGGACGGCGTGTGCCTTTGATCTTTAAACGGCCCGACCGTCCCAAACCAGGCGTATTTTTGACCGTCCCAGACCAGGCGTTTTTATTGTACCTAATTTTAAGCCTTCAAGGCTTATATTAAGGGATCCTCCCTGTTTCTTCAACTCTGTGATAAGGGTCCATGTTTGACATTTTTAGATTCTCCGTTTTCTGAGGATCATTTTGATGTGTCACAAGACCCCCTTACAAACATCTTTCCCCGAGATCTTGGCCTTCAAAAGTTGCAAAAATGAATATAAAATGTACTAAGCGTGAAAATCGGATTTTTTCGGTTTTTTAATGACATCTAAATATGCCATATAAGGGGTCTTTCGAAAGCTTACCGAATCTGCCAATTAAGAAAATAATAACCGCATTAGAAATTTTTGCCCATTGGCGCTAAAAAGCAATGAAAGACCAAAAATGCCAAAAATGGATAAAAATAGTTGTTCAAAAGAAATTTTCTAAGCCCGAATCGGCTGAATTTCTATTCAAAAATTGCCTAAAATGGCGTTTTTCGAATTTCTTGAGTTTTCCCTACCTCATAGAGGTAGGTTTGCCTTGAGCAAAATATATCTCTGTACTAGAGAATAACAGATAGCACACCAGCTTTCAAAAGAGCTATTGAACGTCCCGATTCATAAGCCCAAATCGGCTGAATTTCGAGTCAAAGATGGCCAAAACGGGGGAACCCTTTAGGCTTTATCAGGCTCTGAGCTTTCAGAAATCTTAGTGCAAAGCCGTTTTTGGCCATCTGGGGCGCTAAAAATTGGGTTGAAAACTGGAAATTCCGGAAAACTCGACGAGCTGGCCTTTTCAGAGGTCATTGAGCTGAGCTGAGCGTACCCTAATTAGAGCTGAGCTGAGCCGTTTTTAACTGTGCTTTTAGTAGTCAAATTGTGTTATAAATTATAACTTATAATCATTCAGCTAAGCTAAGTGATAATTGTCTGAGCTGAGCAGATCAGATCATTTTCAAGAATCCTTGTCGAGCAACTGCTGGCTCAGCTCACTCAGCTCAGCTAAGCAAATTTGCTTCTAGGTTTTCTTAAACTGTATCATATAACCCCCAACTTAGAAAACCGGACTTTCGGCCATTATAAAAAGTCAGCTGAATGGTGATGCAAGAGAAAAGTTTTCTACAAACGAGTAGAGCTTCTTGTCTAGGATGGGACCAGAAAAATCTCACAAAATCTAAAGATTTTGAAGTTCCTTCAAAAGGATTTTTGTCGATTCGCGACATTTCCCCATTATTTTCTTATTTATCAAGTGAAACTTATAAGAACATTTTAAATGTTTATAATAATTTAATAAAAAACGGAAATTTAATTTTAAATTTTTCAAAATTTCAAATTTTTTGTCTCGGAGGGAGTCAAGAAGAAATTTGTTTTGGTCTGGTTACTCATTTTTTGTTTTCAAAAATTTTTAAAATTCAGATTCCTCGCCTGGTCCAAATCCTTACCTGGTCCAAATCCTCGCCTGATCCATTTTCGATTTTGGACCAGGTAAGGAATTTGGACCAGGTAAGGATTTGGACCAGGCAAGGATTTGGACCAGGCGAGGACAAACCGAATAAAAATTATAATCTTAGTATTTGCTAAAATAAAGGTTAGGGTTAGGGGCACCTGCAAAAATGACGGAACAAATTACCCGAGGGGGATAGGCTAGGGTTAGTTAGGGTTACTGAAGGTAACCCTAAGTAACCCTAGACTAGACCCCGGCATCTTAGGACCTAAGGGGCGAAGCCCCGTGGTCAGAGGAACTCAGATTCCTTGATTTCTGTCATCTCGCCCCCTTTTTTGCCGAAATTTTATTGCTAGAAACGAATTTGAAAGTGAAAAAGATTTCGGTAGCATGCCGAAACATTTTTGCTCAAAAAGTGGAAAAAAAGTGAAAAAAGTTTCGGCTGTTACCGAAATATTAATCAGAAAATAAGCTCACCATATTTCGGGAGTTTTACCGAAACATTTTTCCATACTACCCGAAAGACATCAGTTTGAGGACAGAAGGCAGAGGGCAGTGTGGTGTTCAGTCGCCAATCAGTTCGGCTTGAAGAGCCGGAGGTGTTATATACCCCAAATATTCGTACTGAGTTGTGAGACAGCAGCAAGGTTGCGGTTTCGATAGAGAATCCGTTCGCAGTCAGATGAACGGTTAAGGCTGGCACCTCAGCCATACTGTTTTCGGGGCGGTCAGGTTCAAGAACCGGTTATTTCAATGCTTAAAACATACGGATTAGTTATAGCTGAATAAACTGGTTGGTAACCTTTCTCTAGTCTCTCCTTTGGAATGTAGGAGTTGGTGTTTGGCAAAAAGTGCTTGCTCTTGAACTTGAGAAAGGTGAGATTTGGTTCGTGGTTCTGCTGAAAGTCCGCCGACACTTCGAGCAACTGGTGCAATCGATCAAGGTTGACTGGACACTGAGGCTGACCACAAAGAGGAGATGAACACAGGCCCTCTGGCAGCTATTGGAGAGAAAGTGGAAATATCTGGTTTCAATAAGCGTTTAAAGGATGGGTCGATGTATGAAGGTGGACATGGAGCCGGTCCAGAGCGCGTCGACAATCAGAGGTAGTGTTATTGAGGAGGTGGGGATTCTGGCCACCGAGCTGCTGAATAAGACTATTCATTCGAGCACGAGAAGGCTGTTGATACTCGTTGTCTTGAAGGAACTGGTTGTGAGCCTGGACCAGAGCCTGGAGATGACTGAAAAGAAGAGTGTTAGGGGATATGAGTGGTCATCTCAAGATAGAAAATTAACTCACGTTTGATACATGGTGCGAGTCATCATGAAATCATCGCGACCTGTAGGCTGGAGAGGTTGAGGTAACGTCATCGCAGGGTAATGTGGCTCTTGTGGAAGAGAATAGCATCGATTTACATAACTCTCCTGTCCTGCCATAATGGAATAGGCATACAGATGCATCAAAGGTACATAACGCAGATCGGCTAAGCTTAGGTCCACAACCAAGTCATCAGTGGTATGTAGGAAGTGAGTAGGGAGGCCGAACACGTTAAGTAGTGCGCAAACAGAGGTACTAGGGTTCGCACCCAAATAATTTTAAAATTTTAAAATGCTTTAAAAACAAATAACCATTTTTAGTGTCCCCCTAAATTCATTCCCCTGATTTCAAATCTGAAATCAGAATTTAAAAATCTTTACTAGAACCCGAGTTCTAGAGTCGTGAAAATGGCGAAAAATCGCCGGTGTGCGCGGCGCGCCGCGATGGATGGGTGGCGCTCGTGTGCTGAATTGCCGCCGCTCGCCCAGATCTTGGCTCAAGTACAGTTCTTTTCCTCTCTTGTGGACATTTTTTGTCCCAAAATTTTCGAAAAATGTCCACAAACTTGGGCAACGTCTTCCGAAAAAATGTCCCATCGAAATCGATTAAAATTTTTTTTCGAGATTTGAGTACGCCGAATGGTTTTCTAGACTTTGCATTTATGCTCCTGAAAGACTGGCAAAGGCCCCTTTGTCTCTAGTTGAACCTTTAATTTTGTTTTTTTTTCGTAAACGATGAACAACTCGATCTTGATTAGCAAGAATTAATCTCACCACAAAAAAAATTGTCTTTTTTATTTCTTTCCGCGAAAAAATGTCCACAAACTTGGAACAGCATC